AGGAAGAATGGACACAAAAACTTATGGAATATGCAGAAATGGCCAAACTTACCGGAAGAATAAGAAATCAAAATAACAAACTCTTTATGAAAGAATGGAAATGGTTTGTTGAATATTTACAGACAAATTGCAAGCAGATGAAAAGATTGGCAGGATTATTGTAATAACCTGCAGTTTCATAAGAGCATATATTTAAAATAGATAATTAAATGAATCTGGATATGCAGAAGATATTTAAAAAATCAATTTAAGGAGCTGCAGGAAGAGGGGGAAGGAAGTCAAACTTCGAAATGTTAAACTGATTGTAAAACTAATGAACTGTATAAACTTGAAAAGTATAAATAATTTTTTTAAAAGGCTGCAGGTTCGATCCCCGCCTGGGATAGCTGCATATTGCTGCATTGCAGGGGGTTAGACTAGAGGATCTTTAGGGTCCCCCTTCCAAGTCTACATTTCTATGATTTTCAATGGGTTTTCTTGGCACCTCGTATCTGATGCCTACCACAGCATCAAGAGATGCCCACAAATGTAAAGCACACACATTTTGAATTGTTGTCTTGCAACAGGGGAGTTGCTCCAGAGTCTAGACCCTTGATCGTTTTGGTTACCTGGCTGCTGTGAAAGGCAGAGAAGCAATGGCTAGGAAAGGAATGTGGCAACCCTTCTATGCCTACGTTTTGATTGGAGATAGCTATGGCGACACCTAGCGGCTGATTTAAGCAACGGCTGTGGAATCTACTAGGGTTTCCCCCTAGGTAATCTTAAAAGAGTTTCGTTGAAGCATGCTCTTCCTGTACAGCCAAAAGTAAAACAGATATTACAAAATCTCTGGGACACTCTCAGGGTAAAGTAACTGAAGTGCTTTCCCTGAAATTTACTGGGGGAATTAGAAAAATAAAAGTGTAAATCAGAGCCACGTACTTGCTGGAAATGTCAAGAAATGGAGGGTAATTTTTATCATATGTGGTGGACATGTGAAAATGTGAAGGAATTCTGGGAGGTGAAATATAATGAAATGGAAAAAAAATGTTTAAGAAGGTGTTTTTAAAAAGACCAGAAACCTTCTTATTAGGAATATTAGGAATGGAAGTCTCCACAGATCAAAATAACTTGTTTTTTCTGCACAGTTACAGCTGCCCGAATGGTATATGTTCAGAAATGGAAAGAGAGAACAACAAAGGAGGAATGACAGGTGAAATCAATGGAATATGTAGAATTGGCAAATTTAAAATAACAGAGTAAGGGACCAGGAAGATGGAGTATTTAAGGTAGAGTGGAAAGTGTTTGCAGAGTATCTGAAGAATTATGTAAATAAGATTAAATAATCATCACTATTAGCGTAAATTCAGCAGTTTAAAGTAGTAAGTTATAAGGGGGAAGAGAAACTTGAAAAAGAGGAAATTAGAACATGCAGTTTTACTGGATAAATAAATAGAACCATGGAACAGGGGAAGGGGAGTCAATGATGGGGTGGTTGCGTTCAATGAAATGTGAAATTGCAATGATGTAAAATGTTGAAATTTACTGGGGGAGTGCGGTGATCGTATGGAAAGCACCAGATTAGCATTAGCTTTTGTAAAAAGACGCACACTGTTTAAAAATAAAATTTACCCATTGTTAAAATACAAGGAGCCAGGATTCAAATACTACCACTGCTATAATGGTCTTTGTGTGTGGTAACATCATGCATTTAAAGCAAGGGGCTTCTCCCAAGGCATCCTGGGAACTCTAGTTTACTTGTCACAGGGCTACAATCCCAGCAAACTACAGTTCCCATGTTTTTTTTGGGGGGGGGGATGAGCCATGTGCTTTAAATGCCTGGTGTCGATGTGAAGGGGCAGATCTCCACCTCAGGCAACACACAGTCTAAAATTTGTCTTGGGGAAACACCTTTAGACTTAGAGATAGGTTGAATTAGAGTAGGTTGAGGGACCATGGATCCAGGCCTTCTGTGCCTGGCTCTCAGGACTTCCCCCAGCCTGCCGCCATCACCAGCCTGTCTTGGGGTCTTTTGATTGACTAGGACAGTCTTATCCCAAAGTGGGTGATATCACCCCCTGGGGGGGGGATTGGAATAATCCAGGGGTGGGGGTGGTAGTAGCTTCAGGTGCAATGGGGGGGGGCATTGGATAAAAATAAGGAAGCAAAGAGAATTTTGCAGAACCGTTTGTACATGTTTCATCTGTTGTGTAATGGTGCTTCCCCGTGTGACATAAAGTCGTGATGTCTTTATTTTCCAAATAAACCGACAAAACACAAGTTGGAACCGATCCGCTATCTTAATTTTCTGTGTGCAACGCGGATGTTACTGCGGTTGAGTTCAACAGATAATTTTGAAATGTCAAGCTTCAAGGTGCCCTTATTCAGAACAACACCTTTCTTTCCTACGTCGTAGGCAGAAATAAAGGTAAAGGTAAAGGGACCCCTGACCATTAGGTCCAGTCGCGGATGACTCTGGGGTTGCGGCACTCATCTTGCTTTATTGGCCGAGGGAGCCAGCGCACAGCTTCCAGGTCATGTGGCCAGCATGACTAAACCGCTTCCGGTGAAATCAGAGCAGCGCACGGAAACGCCATTTACCTTCCCGCCGGAGTGGTACCTATCTATCTACTTGCACTTGGACATGCTTTCGAACTGCTAGGTTGGCAGGAGCTGGGACCGAGCAACGGGAGCTCACCCCGTTGTGGGATTCAAACTGCTGACCTTCTGATCGGCAAGCCCTAGGCTCTGTGGTTTAGACCACAGCGCCACCCGCGTCCCTTTGTAGGCAGAAATACAGATGCATAAAAGAACGCAGATTTGTCACTGCATCTTTCTGTTTGTTCACTGAAAGAAGGTAGATTTCTAGGGGGGCGCTGAGTATTTTATTTTATTTTTCTGAAAAGGGGGCAGTAGACCAAATAAGTTCGGGGATCTCTGGTCCAGAATGTGTCCTTGGGCTGCAATAATTCCTCTTGATTCCCTTGCAAGGAGGCAGGCATGTGTGTGGAAAACCTCTGGCTTTTGCACACCTGAAAGGAGGAAGAAAAAGAGTCCCCGCCCACGTTTCCCTCTGGCCACACCCCCTGTGGACATGTGACCCAGGAACGTTGCCCCCATGGCCTTCAGGCTGACAAAGGTGATTTGTCCATGGATCAGGGCATAGGAAAGATGCTCTGTGCCCCCCCCACTGGGTGGCCTAGGACCAGTCACTATGCTTTTTCCGAAACTACTTCCCAGCTTGTAGGTGAAAGGGGAGGTCGTGGGTTGGGCTCAATGCCAGTCTTACTCAGAGCAGACCTACTGAAATGAATGAACCTAGTTAACAGTATGCTCATTAATTTCAAAAGGTCTGCTCTGAGGAGGATGCCCATTGGATGCAGCCGCTGCACAGAACGCCTGGAGACCATATAACACCAGTCCTGAAAGACCTATATTGGCTCCCTGTACATTTCCGAGCACAATTCAAAGTGTTGGTTCTGACTTCCATAGCCCTAAAGGGCCTCAGTTCAGTATACCTGAAGGAGCGTCTCCACCCCCATTGTTCTGCCCAGACACTGAGGTCCAGCTCCGAGGGCCTTCTGGTGGTTCCCTCCCTGTGAGAAGTGAGGTTACAGGGAACCAGGCAGAGGGCCTTCTCGGTAGTGGGGCCCGCCCTGTGGAACACCCTCCCAGCAGATATCAAGGAGATAAACAACTATCTGACTTTTAGAAGACATCTCAAGGCAGCCCTGTTTAGGGAAGTTTTTAATGTTTGATGCTTGATTGTGTTTTTAATATTCTCTTGGGAGCTGCCCAGAGTGGCTGGGGAAACCCAGCCAGATGGACAGGATATAAATATATTATTATTATTAGTAGTAGTAGTAGTAGTAGTAGTAGTAATGGAAGCTGATTCTCCAGCTGATTCTCTCTACCGGATGCACTTAGCCATGCACCTGCACTTTTAATAGCTGTGCTTGTGAGGCAGCAACCCAACAGGTGACGTCTTTCCTTGGCATGCACACTCTTTTTAATGGATATTTTGTGCCCATCCCTGCATCTCTACATATGAGCGAATCTGTCCATTTTGATTAAAGCTGCTTTCTTGTTTTCCCAACCTTCAGCCCAGTTCTCCACATTTCCATGTCAGTTTGCAATTCAATACAGTGGTACCTTGGGTTACATACACTTCAGGTTACAAAAGCTTCAGGTTACAGACTCTGCTAACCCAGAAATATTACTTCGGGGTTAAGAACTTTGCTTCAGGATGAGAAGAGAAATTGTGGTCCAGCGGCGCGGTAGCAGCAGGAGGCCCCGTTAGCTAAAATGGTGTCTCAGGTTAAGAACAGTTTCAGGTTAAGAATGGACCTCCAGAACGAATTAAGTTCTTAACCCAAGGTAAAAAGGTAAAGGGACCCCTGACCATTAGGTCCAGTTGTGGCCAACTCTGGGGTTGTGCCACTCATCTCGCTTTACTGGCCGATGGAGCCGATGAATTAAGTACTTAACCTGAGATACCACTGTAATGGAAAAAGTTCTCATGAGAAGCCAGCGTCAATTTTCCTGAACATTCTGCATGCAATCCTGCCCAATGCACACAATTTTGCAAAGAGGTTCCCCACCTCCTGCATGATGCATTTTTGTATGTTATTTTTCCAGCAGCGTATGCATTTGTATGCACGCTTTACCCTAGGAAGTTCGTTTCTGCACGTACGACCTGGCATGAAAAATGGCATTGCAAAACTCAGAGAAGGGTGTGTTTTGAAAGGCGGCTGCAATCCGGTTTGCATATTCTGTTGGGGGAAAGTGGGGATTTGATAGCTTTGCCCTGCCTGAGACAAACAGCTTCTTTCTCAAAAGAGCCAAATTAGGTGTTGAACAGAAGAGTAGCCGAGTAGGTGACCAGTTTGTACTTTCCGCTATGGGGAAATAGTTTCCTTTGAAAGAACGTCCAGTTCTCTCCTCTCTCTCTCTCTCTCCTCTCTCTCTCTCTCTCTCTCTCTATCTCTCTCTCTCTCTCCCTTTCTCAATCTTGCCTAACTTTTCATTCCATCCTCCTTTCTCTTGGGCAATGTCCCCCCGCACTGGGGAAATTCCTCCTCTGCACAATATATAAGCCCCCCGGCCTGGTGGAAGGCATTTTCACCACAGAGAAGGCAACCCAGACATCATGGCTGTTCTGCTCAGGGCTCTGACCCTGGCAGGTAAGAGGTGGGAAGGGCCCCCGGGGTGGAGGGTGGAAAAGAGACCAGGGTTCCTGAGCTTTGTAATGAGAGAAGGATAGAGTCACCAGACCTCCAGTTCTGACCTGAAGCTTCCAGGTTTGCTTGGCTTCCTCCAGGTGGCAAGTGGAGGGGCTTGAATCTCCAGGTGGGCAAAAGTCCCTTACAATAAAATAAAATAAAGATCATTAAGAAGATTGTGCATGAAGCTTGCAAGCTTCAGCCCAGCAGGAACAGACTGCAAAACATAGCCTAAACCATGGGTAGGCAAACTAAGGCCCAATCGCCTTCTAAATCCGGCCCACGGACGGTCCGGGAATCAGCGTGTTTTTACATGAGTAGAATGTGTCCTTTTATTTAAAATGCATCTCTGGGTTATTTGTGGGACCTGCCTGGTGTTTTCACATCAGTAGAATGTGTGCTTTGATTTAAGGTTATTTGTGGGGCATAGGAATTCATTCATTGTATTTATTTTTTCAAAGTATAGTCCGGCCCCCCACAAGGTCTGAGGGATAGTGGACCGGCCCCCTGCTGAAAAAGTTTGCTGACCCCTGGCCTCAACAGTCTGCAGGGTCTGCTCCCCTCTGCTCTCCTCTCCCAATTAACCTCCGTCTCCAGGGGCCTCCCCTTGTGACATCACTGGGGGTCTCCCCTCGTACCACCAGAGGCTACCCCTAGGTCTCAGGTATGGACCCTGAAATCTTGGGGTCTGAATTGCTCCTAACTTGGATCATAGGATCACAAACATCTGCCTTATCCTGAGCTTAGGGTGGGAATAGTGTTGGCAGCATTCCCACCAGAACAAACACAAACCCCTGTGTTGCAAAATGTGACAAAATGCAAACACAACACGCAGGCTAATAACTGTTAGTAAATATATAATCGGTACGATGTCATTCAAAATATAGGAATAAGCCACTTCAAAATGATGTCTATATCATACAACACATCTCACAAAATATACAAGTAACTGCAAGTTGTTATATGTATAATAGTCAAACGAAGATTCAAACAACCAATGAATAGTGAGGAATGCCAAACCGTCTCTCAAAGGAAGACGTCTCACAAAAGTCTCAAAAGGACAGTGCATCCGGAATAGTTCAACTGTTTTGGAAAAAAGTCTTCATCAGCGAATAATTATCAATGAAATATACCGGTACATACTAGTGAAGATCATACTAATGGATCAGTGCTCACTGGATAATGTAGCTGCTGTTGCATTTACTAACAGTAAATTACTAACAGTTATTAGCCAGCATGTTGTGTTAGCATTCGAACCAGCACACGCCTTTTGCAGCTGGATCTAGAATTGATGTCTTTTCTCTGCATTCCGAAAAGCTCCCTCTGCAAATCCCTGGCGATCTGGCTATTGTCCAAAGGCAGCTGCCAATGTTAGGGGCGAGAGAAGGAAGCTTGGGTGGGGTAATGTTTATCGGCTTGTGGTAATGAAGAAGCGGGAATTTCCACCGATGTGGCGGAACAATTTCCCTACTGAAATACGAGAGGGCCCAATCAGTATTGGCATTCCGCCGGCTCCTCAATACGCCCCTGTTTAGACAGCAAGCATCTCCAGCGAGCATCTCCAAGCATGACAGTTTACAATTCTGTTTGAGCTCTTTTAATTGCTGTGCTGTATGGACTTGTTTGCTACTCTTTTGATTGCGGATTTTTAAAAAAAATATTTTTGATGGAATTGTTTTATGTTTTGTCAGTTTTACACCTGTAAACTGCTTAGAAGCCTTGTCGGCACATAAGCGGTATATAAATTAAATCATCACCCGGAACTTCCCAAAATCTTCCTCTTTTTTAAAATACATTTTTATTGGTTTTTTGAACATATCATTTCCAACAATCATTTAACATAACTTCTTATACAATATTTCAGACTTCCGTCAACAACTTCTGAAGATTTTCCATTCTTTATCACTTGTTCTGCATTTCTGAATTTCTCTGTTACTTTTAATTATCTTAACTAATAATTCTCATCCTAGTCTTTCTTGCAATATTGCAAATAGCCCTCCTCACAGAACGTCTTGCAGTCCTACTAGCGTAATCTGTTTATTACAATTGATTTTCAAATAGTTCAGATATTTACTCCAGTCTTCTAAGAATCTCTGATCCCGCAGATTTCGAATCCTTCCTGTTAATTTATCTAATTCTGCATAGCCCATTAATTTCATTTGCCATTCTTCTGTCATCAGTAATCCTTCTTGCTTCCATTTTTGTGCCAATAATATTCTTGCTGCCGTCATTGCACTTCCTGAAATCTTCCTATAACCTTTCTTCTTGGTTCTGCTCTTGCAGCCTTCCCCCCCCCCATCATAATTTTTATTGAGTTTTCCATGTTTCATTTCAATTCAATACACATATTTACAACTTATATTATTTGCTCCTAGGGAGCATTGACCTCCTTCCCTCCCTCTTTCTGACTTCCCTATAACATTAACGTATCTACCGCATTTCCCTAGTCACTTCTTTACATTATATCAGCGTTTAAAAATCACTCTCTCATTTGTAAATTAGCACCTTAATTTCACATTGCTAAACATTTCATGTTAAGGCTACAAACCTTTTCAAATAAGTACAGTTTTCTTTCAAATAATAAATGAATTTGCTACAGTTCTTTAGAAATCTTTCATCGGGTCGATTCCTGATTTCCCCCGTCAACTTTGACAACTCCACAAATTCTACCATCTTTATCCGCCAGTCCTCCAGTGTGGGGAGTTCTGCTGTTTCCATCTTTGGGCCAGGAGGATTCTTGCTGCCGTTGTGGCATACATGAATAAATGTACCGTATTTTTTGCTCTATAAGACTCACTTTTTCCCTCCTAAAAAGTAAGGGGAAATGTGTGTGCGTCTTATGGAGCGAATGCAGGCTGCGCAGCTATCCCAGAAGCCAGAACAGCAAGAGGGATTGCTGCTTTCACTGCGTAGCGATCCCTCTTGCTGTTCTGGCTTCTGAGATTCAGAATATTTTTTTCTTGTTTTCCTCCTCCAAAAACTAGGTGCGTCTTGTGGTCTGGTGCGTCTTATAGAGCGAAAAATATGGTACATCTTTTTTATGAATTTCTTCACTAATTAACCCTCTTGTCTTGCAGCCTTAGTCTCCTGCCTCCAGCTGTCCGATGCCATCCAGATTGTCCCCACCCCATCGACCCCACGTGTAGGACAAACGGTCACCCTTTCTGTGCAGGGCATAAGGGACCCCACCATCTGCTTTTGGTTCCGGGGGAACAGATTCGACAAGGGTCGAATGATCTTCCAGATTGAGGCCGGAAGGGTGGTCTCAAGGGGTGGGGGCTCCACGGACCGCCACAGCCTGGGGAGAGACTGCGCCCTAGTTATCCAAGGCGTGCAGTCGCCCGACGCTGGGGAGTACTATTTTATCGCCTTGCACGGGAGACGCTCAGGTCAAAGATGGGAAGATGCTCTGACACAGCTGCAAGTTTCCAGTGAGTACATAAAGGGGAAATGAGGCTATTCTGGGGGGTGGGGGAGAGGCTGGAAGCAGCCTGAAGGATCTGCAGTGATTCAGAGTTTAACCGCTGTCGTGGACTGTTTGAACACAGAGGAATGGTGGTAGTGGGACAGAGGGATGAGTGGTCAGAGGGAAAAGACTGGAAGGATGAGCTGTCGGAAGCTGAAGAGGTAACAGGGTATAGTAATAATAATAATAATAATAATAATAATAATAATTTTAAAATTTATATCCTGCCCATCTGGGGCGTTTTGCCAAGCGTTTGACTGGCCTTGTTCCTGTGTCTCAAAAAGCAGCTTGCAATGTAGATACAGTATCTGGTTATATGTTTTTTTAAAAAATTATTATTATTATTATTATCTGGTTATCTGGTTGGTAAAAGGGTGTGTGTGCGCACCACAAAAATAGTTTGCCTGTGGATTATGCTGCTACCTCTGGCACAGGAGCAAGAACAGGCAACAATGAGTGGTTGCCATGAGGGGGTTGCCAACTGATGAGACAGCAGCTGCTCTTTCGCCTCTAGCATCAGCTTGATCTGCAAACACCAAGAGGTTGTGCAAATTATACCAGGCCCAGTAGAAAAGTTGGCAACTCTAGGGAAGTTAGTGAAGTTGGAAACTCTGCGAGAGGCAATTTTCTCCCTACCCTTCAGCTGACTCTCTCCCTGTTTGTTGCAGACTGATGAATCTGGATCCCCTCCCACGGACCAACAGCTTTCGTTCCAAGGATGAAGGAACTGGCCCTTAAGATGAATGAATTTCCCCTTTGGTTCCCCTTCCCTTCCTTCTCTCTGATCACCTCTTGCCTTCCACTAAAGGAGAACACCTCAATAAAATATCCGCACTGGCAATTCAAAACAGCCTGGAGATGTGTTTGTGTTAGGTCCGTGCCGTGTTTTGAATGTCGTGTTTGAACCGGGGAATCTGTGGCCAGGATGAAGACCCTCTGGCCCGTCAGATGGCAGCTTGACTGATGGAAGCTGGAGTCAACATTGAAAGGGCCAGAGGTAGTTCATTCCTGGTGTGCAAGGTTGTCTATCAGGGATGGTTCATAAATGTACCAACCAAGCACATACATAGATATGTGGACCACATGTCTGGACCAGCACAGGAAGACCTTCCTGAAACCATTTTGACTCCCAAACTGACCAAATGTTTTGTCTGCAAGGAAGGAGGGGGTGAGGGAACCTTCCCATTGTCTCAGGAATTGGGTACTGTTCCAACAGGGCCAAAACCTTACTCAGCTCCCTCTGCCCCGTGACAATCTGTTGGCCCTGACACAGCGGGGGCTTTTCTGGAGATTTCCAGAGTTGATTTGGCCTCTTGCAGGAGGGGGGGGTGGAGAGAGGAAAAGGAATGTAAATATTTACCAGCACAATGGAGCAGGGGATTTCCCCTGCACTGATTCAGTTCAAAAGGACTCACAGAACAAGGAAGCCCAGATTTCCTCCCCGCCCCATTGAACTAAGGGACAGTCATGTTTGCTTGGTTTTTCTTTTTTCTTTTTTTACTGGGTTCTGTTGTTTATTATTTTTTTAATTTCATAAAATATATGCACTGCTTGATTGCAAACAACCTCAAAGCAGTTTACGAAAAGGACAAATCAATAAAATTATGAGTGAAAACAGACAAAACATTCAAAAAATGAAAAGCAGCAATAAACTAAAGAACACAGCAGCATTCTAGATGCCCAGATAAAAAGGTAAAGGTAAAGGGACCCCTGACCATTAGGTCCAGTCGTGGCCGACTCTGGGGTTGCGGCCCTCATCTCGCTTTATTGGCCGAGGGAGCCGGCATACAGCTTCCAGGTCATGTGGCCAGCATGACTAAGCCGCTTCTGGCGAACCAGAGCAGCGCACGGAAACGCCGTTTACCTTCCCGCTGGAGCGGTACCTATTTATCTACTTGCACTTTGACGTGCTTTCGAACTGCTAGGTTGGCAGGAGCAGGGACCGAGCAACGGGAGCTCACCCCGTCGCAGGGATTCAAACCGCCGACCTTCTGATCGGCAAGTCCTCGGCTCTGTGGTTTAACCCACAGCACTACCTGCGTCCCTGAGATGCCCAGGTAGGCTTGTCTAAAAACTCTGCCCTCATGTTCTCAAGTGCCGCTTGATCTGCAGAAATCAGCCATTGACTATTTTCATCGCGATGGTGAAGCACGACCCTATGCCAATCTGTGGCCTGTGAAAGGAAGGCTTGGCAATGCCCCGTGTGCTTTTCTGCAAAACCCACCAAGAACTGCAGTTATTTTGCTGCAAAAGCTGATGAAGGGTGGATTGTGTTCGAACCATGCCCGCAGCAGATATAAACCACCACCCAGGGCAAAGATCTCCCAATACCTTATCCCAAATCAGGATCTGCCATATATTTGATGACATGTCCTTGTGGACATGTTCTGCAACATGCTATTGATGTAATAATAGCGTATTTGTGGTGGATTTGTTCTGCGTTAGTTTGTTCTGCGATGCTTCTGCAATGCTACTGTCAGAATGGCTGCACATCTGAACTGTGTCTATGGTTTATTGCTGTAGATCATGGCATCAGTGCAGTTGGCATATATTGATAAAAGAAGAGATCCCGCAAATTCAGAGCTGTCCTAAACCTGGTACTCATCTTAATTTTAAATGAGTAAATTCCCTGAACTTAATGCCAAGCTCAGCGCACAAATTGCCTGTTACCAGCAAAGTTTACCGTATTTTTCGCTCTATAAGACACACCAGACCATAAGACGCAGCTAGTTTTTGGAGGAGGAAAACAAGGGGGGAAAAAAAACTGAATCCCAAAAACCAGAACAGCAAGAGGGATCGCTGCGCAGTGAAAGCAGCAATCCCTCTTGCTGTTCTGGCTTCTGGGATAGCTGCGCAAAGCCTCTTCAGGGCAGCGGGATGAACGCTCCCCTGCCCTCAAGAGGTTTCGCGCGGCTATCCCATAAGCCAGGACAGCTTATGGGATAGCCATGCGAAGCTTTTTACGGGCAGCGGGAGGAAGGCTCCCCCTAGAGCCGGTCACCCTTTAAAGAGCGCATGGAGCTTTCCCCTGAGCCTCCAAGAGCCGCACACATGCTCCACATGGCTCTTTAAAGGGAGCGCTGAGTAGAGCCTTCCGCCTGCATTCGCTCCCTAAGACGCACACCTATTTCCCCTTACTTTTTAGGAGGGGAAAAGTGTGTCTTATAGAGTGAAAAATACGGTAATTGTCACCTCCTGTAAAAGAAAAGTTGGGTTCGGCAGAGACAACAAAGTCTTCCTCCGAAAGTAGAGTCATGACTCAGGAAGCCTACAGATCACCAATGAGTCATTTCTCATGAGACTAACATTGGCACGTATTGACTCCAGCAAAAAGTTTCAGAAAGGTTTTCGGCAGAGTCCCTTGTGAAATTTCACTGATGCTTTTGACAAATTCCCCCCTGATATTCTTGAGAGAAGCTAGTAAAATGTGGGCTGGACAAAGTAACTGTTAGAGGGATTTGTAGCTGGTTGAACCTGTAAAGTGCTCTTCATCGTCCTAGGAAAAAATGACAAGCAGGGCTCTGTAATGGACTTGGCATTGTTCAACATCTTTGTAAATGACTTGGGTGAAGGAATTGAGGGGATGCTCATCAAATTTGCAGGTGACACCAAACTGGGAGGGGTAGCTAAGGTCGCAGAAGTCAGAATCAGAATTCAAAATGGCCTTAACGGATTGGAGAACTGGGCGCAAGTGAACAAAATGAATTTAAATAGGGACAAATGTAAGGTTCTGTACTTAGGCAGCAAGAACCAGCTGCACAAATATAAGATGGAGGACACCTGGCTTACTAGCAGTACAGGCGAAAAGGATCTAGGGGTCTTGGTGGACAACAAGCTTAACACGAGTCAACAGTGTGATGCAGCAGCAAAAAAACACACAAAGTAGCCCCTTGTAAGGTCATGTCGGCATGGATGTTAAAATCCCCCAGGACAACCAAACTAGGTGTCTCCAGGAGAACATCCGCCATGACCTGAAGCAGCTCGGGCAGGGAATCCTTGGTGCAGCGGGGAGGTTGGTACACCAAAAGGAATCCTGTACTGCCCCTATTGCCCAACTTCCAGAACATGCACTCAGAGAACTGGGTGTTCCCAATAGGGCGGCTGGTGCAAACTAATGACTTCCTAAAAATCACTGCAACTCCCCCTCCCCGCCCACAAGGCCTGGGTTGCTGTGCATAAGAGAAACCTGGTGGACAAGCAGCGGCAAGGACAGGCCCATCTGCTTCATCCAACCAAGTCTCTGTCACACATGCCAGGTCAAGTCCTCCACCCATGATCAAGTCATGGATGGCAGTGGTCTTATGAATCATTGACCTGGCATTGCACAGCAGCACCTTCAGGTCATGTGGGTATCCCCTGCTGATTCTAGTATCCGTCCGGTCAGGAACACATCCGAAGATGATCAAGGGTCTGGAAACTAAGCCTTATGAAGGAGTTGGATGCATTTAGCTTGGAGAAGAGGAGACTGAGAGGAGATATGATATCTGAAAGGCTGCCATGTGGAAGATGGAGGAAGTTTGTTCTCTGCTATTCCAGAGGGTAGAACTGATTGATTCAAATTACAAGAAAGGAGATTCTTGTTTAAACAGCAGGAAGAACTTCCTGATAGTAAGAGTTGTTCAACAGTGGAACAAGTTACCTGTCGACATGCAGAGGGCCTTGCGGCCAGCTGGTAACCCCAGCTGTGCCGTCTCCATTCATCGGCCCGTGCGCCAATGTAAATCAGCGACCCGAACTTCAAAAGCCTGGGCACACTATTAGCAGAGTGTACTGCGCACACAGAAGTAGGCATGAGACGTGTGAAGTCATGCTACAGCTACAGATTTATTAAACATAAATCAGAAGAAAGAAACATGTCATCTCTCTCTCATGTTGTCTCGGTAAAAGGGAAAGGGTAAAGGGACCCCTGACCATTAGGTCCAGTCGTGACCGACTCTGGGGTTGCGGCGCTCATCTCGCTTTATTGGCCAAGGGAGCCGGCGTACAGCTTCCGGGTCATGTGGTCAGCATGACTAAGCCGCTTCTGGCAAACCAGAGCAGTGCACGGAAACGCCGTTTACCTTCCTGCCGGAGCGGTACCTATTTATCTACTTGCACTTTGACGTGCTTTCGAACTGCTAGGTTGGCAGGAGCAGGGACTGAGCAACGGGAGCTCACCCCGTCGCGGGGAATCGAACCGCCGACCTTCTTATCGGCAAGTCCTCGGCTCTGTGGTTTAACCCACAGCACCACCCGCGTCTCAAAAGCAAAAGCTAAAGCTAAACACAAATGGAAGTTCCCAGCATACTGTGCTGGAGTGTAAACAGACATGTGACATGCAACAATCTCATGCCTGTTCCTTAAGGGGGAATAGAAATGCCAACAGTGGACTCTCCTTTCTTGGAGAGGGGTTGGACTAGATGACCCTCAGGGTCCATTCCAACTCTACGATTCTTGGATGCTAACCCTCTTGGGATGGTGATCAGGGAACACACAGGTTTTGGACATGCAGGAGAGTTCAAGCACATTTCTTGCAACAGCACAACATTACTGCTGTCCAGAGGGCCTCAGGCACAACAAAAGCAGGACAAAAAACAATCTAGAACAGGGGTGTCAAACTCAAATTCATCGGGGGCCGCATCAGCAGTTTGGTCACCCTCAAAGGGCCGGTTGTATCTGTAGGACTATGTGTCCACTCTTTATTATCATAAATCATTGTCACTGCATTCAATTATTACTGTTTTTTGTAATAATGTAAGGAGGATAAAAAGAGGGAGGATAAAAAGAGGGAAATAAACAACTCAATCAACCAAGATCGCATTTCTTCTCTTTTAATTTTTTTTCATTCAAGCGGAGGGAGAACAAGAGCCATTTAAAGGGGAAGAAGAAAAACAAAACCACAACAAAAGGGTTATTGCACTTAGACCTTTGAAGACGCGTGTAATTTACTCGCGTGTAATTTACAACACATTCTTTTTTCTCGGGAGTTCCTGGTGGCTTTCAAGAAAAAAGGATTCCTTCTCTTCCTCCCCCTGCCCCCCCGCCTCCTCTCTCTCTCATCTGCCTCATCGGGAAGGGCCAACAACTAAGATCAATAAAAGTTTTCAAACGGAAGAGGCGGCTGCGAGAGGCATCTGCTGCGGGGAGGATCGCGCTTGGTATGAGCGGAGTTTTCCTCACCTTCTGCTTCGCTCGCCACCGAGGGGGACAGGCGGAGGCGGGTCAGCCACGGTGAAGGCAGAGCAGTGTCGACCCTCGGACCGCCGGACAGCGAGCGAGAGCGACGAGGAGGGAGCAGCCGAGCCAGCGCTGCTGGCGGGCCACAAATGAGCAGCCTCCCGCCCGCCGCCGGGACATCGCAAGCGGGACTTGCTGGGAGCGCCGAGGCGCCTGGACCTTCGGACTGCGCGTAGGGCCCTGGGCGTGGGAGCGGCGGGCAGTGGCCGCAGCCTCGCCGGCACGGCTGGTCATTGGCCAGGGACGCCCCCGGGGAATGTTGCACGGTTTCCTGTGTAGAACGGCCGGCGCCGCTAGAGGGCAGATGTTCTCTGGCTTGTAGGCTGCCGCGCATGCGCTGAAGAGGCGGCTTTCTTGTGTCAAAAAAAAAAAGCGAGAATAAAAGGTGAAGGCCGGCGGCGGCTACACGGGCCACATGACGAGGTCTGGCGGGCCGGATTCGGCCCGCGGACCTTGTGTTTGACACCCGTGATCTAGAACATTTGTGGTATAAAAAGTTATGGGATTTCAGCAAGCGCAAAGAGCAGTGGGGTCGTTTGTGAGCAGCATGTGAGCTAGGGCTAAAAATAAGAGATCAAAATAAGTAAAACAACTAAAAACCTATAGTAAGAACAAAATTTGTTTGCCATTAGCATCCCGAAACCTCTTTCTTTAGAGCTAATTCTGCATACCTTGGTTTAAGAACAGCTTAGTTTATGAACAACTTGGATTAAGAACGCTGCAAACTCGGAAGGAGGTGTTTTGGTTTGTGAACTTTGCCTTGGAAGCAGAACATGTTGAGTGTGTTCCATTTGTAAATTGAGTCCCCCGCTGCTATGGGAAAGCATGCCTTGGTTTAAGAACGCTTTGGTTTAAGAACGGACTTCTGGAACGGATTAAGTTCATAAACCAAGGTCCAGTCATACTTCGGGTTACAGCTGCTTCAGGTTGCATTTTTTCGGGTTACGCACCCGCCGAAACCCGGACGTACCAGAACGGGTTACTTCCGGGTTTTGGCAGTTGTGCATGCGCAGAAGTGCTAAATCGCGCTTTGCGCATGCACAGAAGCACCGAATCACAACCTGTGTGTGCGCAGACGCGCTGCTGCAGGTTGCGAATGCTGCAGGTTGTGAACGTACATCCCGCACGAATCACGTTTGCAACTCGAGCGTCCACTATACTACTGTTACAGTGGTACCTCGGGTTACATACGCTTCAGGTTACAGACTCCATTAACCCAGAAATAGTATCTCGGGTTAAGAACTTTGCTTCGGGATGAGAACAGAAATCGTGCTCTGGTGGTGCAGCGGCAGCAGCAGGAGGCCCCATTAGCTAAAGTGGTGCTTCAGGTTAAGAACAGTTTCAGGTTAAGAACGGATCTCCGGAACGAACTAAGTACTTAACCGAGGTACCACTGTATTTCATTTCTCACTTAATGTTCCTGTCCTAGCCAGTAGGTGGCAGGAGAGATCACAGTACATTATGTATCTTTTAGCTAACAGGCCCTGGTTCCCTCCAATAATGCTTAGGATGGTTTATCAAGCAGATCACCTGTGCATTCCCCTTCTCCTGCAAGGCAGAAGTTCAACAGGGGAAGCGTTCCTCACTGAGGCAGCTCTGGTAGGAACGGAGCATCCCTGGGGTTTGGGACCTACTCCCAAGGAGAGGAAAAAGGGAGACTTGAAAACAGAACAGCTGCATTGAAACAGCTCTCCGGAAGAGGTCTGCTGAAAGATTTGGTGCTGGGAAGAATCTGGGGAAATCAGAGGGGAAATCGGGTATTATGAGCCAACATTTCTGCAATAAAGCAGAGGCGGGAGATGGTGCCTCTTTTGGCCCCTTGGCCAGATGTGGCGCATAGATACTGTCTCTCGTGATGTGCCTCTTCCCCAGAGATATAGCAGCAGCATCCATCTCAAAGCAGCGCTGCCCTCCCAACCCCCCAAATCCATATCAGATCTGAACATAGCAGAATCCATCAATAGTTCCTCTTTCTCAAGCATTCCTCAGCAAGCCAAGCCAAACTGGTTTCGGCCCCAGTCAAACTGGTTTTTTGGGTGACCAACGCTTGGAGGTGGGTGTGACCTCCTTGCACATTCCCAGTGCGTTTTCTGAGACAAAGGCCACCAGCCAACGGCCTCATTAATTCACGAAACCTGCAAGCGCCTCCTTTGTGGGTTTGCTAGCTCCTCCTATATCAGATGCATTTGCCAGATGCAGACATGAATGGCTGGACTAGCCGCCTAGGTTCCCTTCCCTGGCATATTTGCCTTTTAAACATTGTAGGGTTTTTTTTAAGGGTTCTGGGAATTGTAGCTCTCTGAGGGGTCAACTACCGCTCCCAGGATTCAAAATCCTCTTTCTCCTCCCCCCTTTTTTCAATTTTTTATTGGAAATTTTATTTACAACATAACATAAACCCCCCACCCCCAATACAGAAATCCACCCCCATTAAACGTGAACATAACATACAATGAGCATAACATACAACAATACAAACAACCAAATAAAAGACTTCCTTTATCCTGTATCTTGTTTTGATTAATGTCTGCAGGAGACTTTGTGGATATTTCAGTTCTAATTAGAAAAATCTTAATAATTATTCATAATGGAAACAGCTTATAAGAAGTAAATAAGGAGGCCATATACCAAAATCCTCTTTCAAATGGAGATTTTGCAGTTGGGAAATTGAGGGCGGAATTCATGCAAAGTCCGGGATGAAGGAACCACCAAGGGGAAAATGTGCAAGTACTCTGGAAGCAGTAGTATTGATGGACCTGCTCCTTATCTGCTATTGGGTCCCCTGAGTGCAGATTCACACGAAGTGGCAACCAACCTTGCAGGATACAACAGGATTTATTTGAAATGCATAGGCAGAACAAAGGTACAGAGCGATCAGCTCGCAATCTGCACACCCCAGTCAGGGTGCGCCCACTTTTTATAGACTATACAAAAAAACAGAGAGTGAGACTTTACATTCTTATCCAATCAGGCTCTAACATTCCATGTTTCTCCTTTTGAAGGTTAACACTTCTTAATTTACTCATCCTTTGTTTGTCTGCCTGCTACGGCCTTCCCTGTCTTATAACAGTTGCTTTGTTTGTCTGCCTGCTTATGGCCTTGCCCGTCTTGTAACAGTGGCTTTGATAACAGCATGCTGGAATTTCTATTTCTGAGGCCCTTCAGAGATGCGCAGGGCACCTTTGTGATACGCACAGCCACTCTCGCTTTCTAAGTTTATAAAGTCTCCTGTGTGTTCCTGAATGCATAGTTTTAGAGCCTGCAAAATAAATCCCCCCCCATGTTGTTCCCATGAGCCTTCTGCAGAGGGACTCTAGGAGCCGATCCTCACTGGCCAATGCACTTCTTTTCACACCGATTCAATGCAAAGGCTTCTTTTTTTTTTTTAATAATGTTTATTAAAAGTTTCAGAATTACAGAAAAAAAGAAAAAATAGGAAACAACACTACAATACATAAAAAAGAAAAAAAAACACAAAGCATAAAAACCAATACAGCAATACAGCAAAAAAATAATAAAAAAGACACAAATCCCATGTTACATATCTTTAACTTCCATTTGCTTGTTTCATTGACCTCCTCACACCTCCCTTTTTGTATTCTAGTTTAATTAGTTATTTCAGCAAATTCTTTCCATCTTTCTCAATTTTTATTGAATAATTTATCTTAACAATTTAACCTATTAATTAACTCAACAAATCCTTTCCATCTTTCCCCATATTCTGTTATTCAAATTGCCTTAATTTATTTAACCTTATCTTACCGTAAAATACCTTAAAGCTTGAAACTTAATACTCAATTATACATAGCTCCTTATATCATTTCTACTAAAACCATATAGTTTCATTCCAACATTTTCCCTAATATTCATTAATTTTAGGTTAATTCCCTAAATAAAAATTTTTCTTTATAAATTTTCTTCCAATCTTCATCCAGCGTCTCTTCTTCCTGGTCTCGGGTCATGTCAGTCCTTACTGTCCATTCCATCTAGTCCATCAACCTAGTAATCTTATGTCCAAGGCTCTTAAGTCTCTTCCATGTCCCTTCTGCAGATCTTCTTCTTCTTGTTTATACCTGCACTTTTCCTTGTATTTTGTTGGTCTCTTTCTTAATTTCTTTCCTTTCTCATTGAGGAGTAGGTCTCTGGGAGGTTCAAGCCCTTCATCAAACCAACCCATTCCCCACAGTCCCACTCCCCACAGACATCAATGTAATCCAAAAGATATTTAAGAGCATATTTCAAAGTCCCTCCGAAGTTAAGAACCTCCTCAGCTCCAGACTCCCCCTGGCCCACTCCAACTTCAATCTTCAAAAACAGCGGCTTATGCTCCTGCAGGGCCTCAGATCTCTCCATTTGTAACACCGGCTTATGCTCCTGCAGGGCCTCGGATCTCTCCATTTGTATTATTTGAGGTGCAACCGCAACCTCCTCCATTATCTTCTGCACTTGCCCAATCAATACAGGTTCCTGAGTTGGTCCCTGAGTGGTTTCTGTATCAATATTCCCTGTTTGTCCACAGTTATTGACCACCACAGTCATCAAATCCGTTTTCTCATTCATCAGATCCATCTTCTCATGCATCTGTTCCAACAAAGCACTTGTCTTGCATAAAGCAAGCACCAAAACTTCCTCCCAGCTCATATTTATTTCAAGGTCGAAAGGACTGGTCCCACGATCTTAATCTCACAGCTGTAGAGTCCTCAAGTAAAGTGCAGCAACAATTTAGCAAGCTCCCTCTAGAGGCGACAATTTCTATTTGTATCCATCTTTTTAAAGCAAGTCCAACAAAGGAGAATTACTTTCATTTTTCAGATATTTTGTTTCTTTAGAATGCAAAAGGCAACATTGGAATCAGTTTATTTCTCTTCTTTAGCTATCTGTCAAAGTATTCCATTCACAGTCAGTAAACCTCTCCAACAATTTCTGTCTCTGACACCCCGTTCCCAGGTTAGAGACGGTGGAAACTTATCTTTCTTCACTCCCTCTCCTGCAGGCATTAAACAAAGTCCCCCCCCCCTTTTCTCCTGCTTCCAAGGGGGTTTTAGTAGTTATAAATGAAGGAAGTTTAGGCTTTTTTAACGACTTTCCAGGCTTTAGCTTACAAGGTTTTTGCTTCAATCTATATACAAAAAGCGGAAGGCGGACTTCCTGTTTTGAACCTTCCCGCTTCGGTGCCAAATTAAGATATTTCTTGATCCAATTTTCCGTTTCTACTCATGGGTACTTGTTTTAAATCCAATTGTCCACAGGAAAAGTCAGCGCTCTCCGGCAATGGCTGTGCGGCTTCACTCCGTGAAAGTAGCAATCAGTTCGCAGCACCGCGCCGCTCACCCCACTTCACTCCGGAACCCCGAAATGGGGTTCCCCGTGAGTAGGGGAGGCGCTCCTGGTACCCTGCCGAACCCCACGTTCCCAGGCTTCCTCCGCCTGGGATTTCTAGCGGGTCCCCACCTTCGCCGCGGCGGGAAGACCCAGTTTCCACGGAGCCAGTTCCTCCGGTCAGAGGAACTCCGCCATTCGCCGATGGTGCTAACCCGGAAGTCCTCAATGCAAAGGCTTCTTCCCCGTGGCCAGAAATTCCTCCTTTCATGCTGATCGGGTGTCTCTGGGATGTTGGAGACAGGGACCCTGCTGCGAAAATGGAAATAGACCTTCCCCACCCCCAGCAACCCCGAAAAACTACGCTTCTGCCCATAAGCAAATCAGGAACGAATGCGAGACGGATGCTCATTGTCGTATAATTGCCCCCAGAAAGAAATAGGAGAGAATGCTCAATTAATGACCAGACACAGTCTAACCTCCGTGTAGCCCTTGTGCAAGCAAATCAGGACAAACGCTCAATGCTGAGGTTGCCCAGAGGAACCCCAGGAGGAGGAGGGGACGGGAGAGATTGTCCCTTTGAGGAAAGTTTGAAAAAGCTGCCTATGTTTAGCCTGGAGAAACGACGGTTAGGAAGCACGATAGCCATCTCCAAATATCTGACGGGCTGTCAATTATATGATGGAGCAAATATTTTCCTGTTGCTTCAGAGCGATGGCTTCACATTACCCGAGTGTTTGAGGAAGGAGTGTTTGTGCAGGAACTGGCTCGAGACATTGTAGTGCCTGAGGCGAACCACAAAATGGCGCCCCTCCCAGCCAGGGATGAAGGGCTGAGTGAAGATTTGCATCAGGAACAAGAGGAAATAGAGATCGAATTCGGAAACAAAGGTGAGAGGAGACAAGCAGCACCTCCTATTCGCCAAGAGGTCCCAAGGAGCATGAAGCAGCTATTGTTGCCATCACGGCAACATCAGCCGTGGGCCTTGCATTCCTTGGAAGCCAGATATGCTGTCCTTGTGAATGCTGCCGCCTGAGGCAGTTGCCTCACACTGCCCCATGTGTAGGCCGGCCCAGGCCGTAGCGCAGGGGTAGGCAAACTAAGGCCCAATTGCCTTCTCAATCCAGCCCGCCGACAGTCCAGGAATCAGCGTGTTTTTACATGAGTAGAATGTGTCCTTTTATTTAAAATGCATCTCTGGGTTATTTGTGGGGCATAGGAATTTATTCATCCCCCCCCTAAAAAAAATATAGTCCGGCCCACCACATGGTCTGAGGGACGGTGGACCAGCCCACAGCTGAAAAAGGTTGCTGACCCCTGCCGTAGCGCAATGCTAGAGAATCTGCCACAGAAGATCCTAAGGCCGATCCCTCACATCTCCCGGTAGGTAGTGTAGATAGTATTGAACTGTCGGGCCCGTTGCTGTTCAATGTCTTTGTAAATGACTTGGGTGAAGGAATTGAGGGGATGCTCATCAAATTTGCAGGTGACACCAAACTGGGAGGGGTAGCTAAGGTCGCAGAAGACAGAAGCAGAATTCAAAATGGCCTTAACGGATTGGAGAACTGGGCGCAAGCGAACAAAATGAATTTCAATAGGGACAATTGCAAGGTTCTGCACTTAGGCAGGAAGAACCAGCTGCACAAATATAGGATGGAGGACACCTGGCTTACTAGCAGTACATGCGAAAAGGATCTAGGGGTCTTGGTGGACCATAAGCTGAACATGAGTCAACAGGGTGATGCAGCAGCAAAAAAAGCTAACACTCTTCCAGGCCGGATCAACAGAAATATAGTGTCCAGAAATATAGGGAGATCAGAGTACCACTCTATTCTGCCTTGGTCAGACCACACTTGGAATACTGTGTCTAATTCTGGGCACCACAATTTAAGAAGGATGTTGACAAGCTGGAACGTGGGCAGAGGAGGGCAACCAAGATGATCAAGGGTCTGGAAACTAAGCCTTATGAGGAATGGTTGAGGGAGTTGGATGCATTTAGCCTGGAGAAGAGGAGACTGAGAGGAGATATGAAAGCCATCTTCAAATATCTAAAGCGTTGTCCTTTTGGAAGATGGAGCAAGCTTGTTTTCTCCTGCTCTGGAGGGTAGGACCCAAACCAATGGCTTCAAGTTAAAAGAAAGGAGATTCTGACTAAACATCAGGAAAAACTTTCTGATGGTAAGAGCTGTTTGACAGTGGAACAGTCCCCCACTGGAGGTTGTTGGCTCTCCTCCCTTGGACGTTTTTAAGCAAAGGTTGGATGGCCATCTGTCATGGATGCTTTAGCTGAGATTCCTGCATTGCAGGGGGTTGGACTAGATCAGCATTTCCCAACCTTGGGCCTCCAGCTGTTTTTGGACTACAACTCCCATAATCCTCAGCTAGCAAGACCAGTGGTCAGGGATGGTGGGAATTGTAGTTCGAAAACAGCTGGAGGCCCAAGGTTGGGAAACACTGGACTAGATGATCCTTGGGTACCTTTCCAACTCTATGATTCTATGGACTAGAAGGACCAGTGGACTGACTCAGTGTAAGGCAGCTCCCTGCGAACTTCCTGATGCTCCAGGTTGTTTAATAGTGGTAGAGTTGGCCTTGGAAGAGGGTGGACTCGCCTTCCACCTACGAGGGAGGCTGTAGCACCAGATTTTCTGCATTGATAGCGGGTTGGATGCCTTGACCTTTGAGGTTCCTCTGAACTCTGTTCCTCCTTAAAGAGGAACACGGCAGGAGATGTGAGGGTTGACCTGACCTTGTGTGTGCTTTAATGTCAAGTTGTGGAAGCAGGCTTCAATGGCGAGGCCCAGACCCAGAACATCTGAAGGGAGGACCAAATCAGACACGGTGTTAAAGTGGTCTTATCCTCACCCAACTGTAGTATACATTTAAGGGATTACCGTATTTTTCAATACGGCTCAATAAGACGCACCAGACCACAAGGTCCACCTAGTTCTTGGAGGAGGAAAACAAGAAAAAAAATATTCTGAATCTCAGAAGCCAGAACAGCAAGAGGGATCGCTGCGCAGTGAAAGCAGCAATCCTCCTTGCTGTTCTGGCTTCTGGGATAGCTGCGCAGCCTGCATTCGCTCCATAAGACGCACATACATTTCCCCTTACTTTTTAGGCGGGAAAAAGTGAGTCTTATAGAGCAAAAAATACGGTATTTCAGGCCTTCCAAGTGTCTCTATTTTCCAGGGACGTCCTCGATTTACAGAAGTTGTTCCAGTTTCTGATTTGATCCCGGAATGTCCCGCTTTCCCTTTTTTCCTTTTTTAAATATATTTTTTATTAAATTTTCTGTTTTACATTTCAAAATATTCATTTAAACAACCTGAAATCAATTACCTCCTTGCATATCAAACCAAACCATTCAGTAATCTATTGTTACATCCGTCAAAGCTTATTTACACTGTTTAATTCATCTTAATGCTACCAGCATTTTTAAATAAACACAATTCCCCCCATATATTCAGTAAACATTTTCCGGTCTTCTTAAAACGTACATTCTTCTTGTTCTCTTATTCTATATGTTAAATCTGCAAGCTGCACGCATTTCATCAGTTGTCCAGCTTTTCCTTAGGATGTCCCTGTTTTCTTTGGATAAATTTTGGAGGGTGTGTGAGCCATCTGAATACAGCCCTGTATCGGGAAGGTTTTTTTTTTGTTTTTGTTTTACTGTTTACTTTTTTATTATGTTTTATATATGTTGGAAGCCAGTCAGGTGGGGTATAAATAGTAAAGTTGTTGTTGTTGTTGTTGTTGCTGTTGTTGTTGTTGTTGAATAGGATGTCCCTATTTTCATCAGAGAAATGTTGGAGTATATGTGTATTGTGCCACTTTAAATAGCCACAGCTTCACCCAAAGGATTCTGGGAGCGGAAGTTTGTTAAGGGTGCTAAGCAGAGCATGCCCAGCCATTAGGTAAGGTGAAACACCGCCTCAGGCGGTCAATGTCCCCAGGTGACATGCCTGCAGCTGCCCTGCCGCCTCTTTCAGTAATGGAGAAGCACTGCTACTGGTGATGCCAATTTTGGGCAAGATCATGTCCATTTGGAGCGAGATCTCACTGAAAACAGGAGCCATCTTGCCTGAAAAATTGGCGCCATCTCCACCTGGGCAAGGCAGCAATTCTTGCCCCGGTGCTGAGAGTTGTTAGGCGGCCTCTTATTCTCCCCCCAGAACTATAATTCCCAGAGCTTTGCAGGGAGGGAGATTGATAGCTGAACTGCTCTGAATTGTAGCTCTTTGAGGGGGAATGGGATCTCCTGACCACTCTCTGCCCCCTTAGCAAACCCAACACATCAGACGCGAGAAAGCATGAAAGGTCATATCTCATTTGGTCCTGAGAATAAACAAGGATCTCTCTGAGCAAGTGCAGAGTGCAGTTCAGCCACCACTGCCTACGTGTATAACTTGGCAACTCTCTGCTTTGTTCTGGGTCAGGCGGCAAGGCACACAACCGCCACCCAAGGAACCCAGACTAACTAGCACAGAGACGCCTCTGCCAATGGATAACCTCTGGGTGACTCATTCACGCAAATTCCCAGCACCACAGTGCTGTTTGCAGCACTTTTTTTTAAAGTATGGGGCGGGGGAATCCCTCTTCCCAGGAAACTCTGAGAATTGTGGCTGTGGGAAGAGAATAGGGGCCTCCTGCAACTCTTAACTCCCAGAATTCTTAGCAACTCTCACCAATCACAGCTCCCAGAATTCTTTGGGGGGGGAAGCCATGACTGTTTAAAGAAGATTCCTATCACAGAGCTAGAATTCCCAGAGTTCCCTGGGAAGAAAGATTGGTTGTTAAGCTACTCTATTATTGCAGGAATTTATGTATCGGTTGGGGGGGTTGCCCCTCCAGCAGATATCATGCACATGCAGCCCACTACCAAAATCAGCACAATCGCTTTTGCGACTTCGTGATTTGTCCCCACAAAACACTTCATCACAGTTTCTTCCCATCTATTCAAAGGGCCTTTGCTGCACGACACCAAATGTAAGAATTCACTGATAAATGTACTGGCTCACTGGGAAAACTTCAGAAATTCATATGGACATGTGAGCTCAGCTGCTCAGCAGCCCCTCTGCCTGAGTGATAATTCCTGGCATCCTGATACCTGAGTGCCAGACAGGTAGCCATTCCAGAAATAACAAACCCAGATGAAGACAAAAGGGTGTGATTAACTTGGCTGGGAAATAGGGAAATGTAAATATCTCTTTTGTTACACTTGATGGGTGTTTGGTGGAGGGCAAGGGGAACTATGGGGCAGGGTCCAGGATGCTCAGATTACTGCCAGCAGACCTCCCCTTTCATGATGTAACCGTGATGTAGTTGGGGTGTGTGTGTGTGTAACGTGGGGATTAGCAGCTAATAAACGTTTGGGGGTTCTTTTGTTCGGGGCTTCCATTTTGTTTCACCTTGTGGCAGGTGGCAGTCCTGTCGTGACAGCCTTCAATAAAGACCAAGCCTACTGGCTGCTGTTTTGCTCTGGCATTCCTGGCTGGTGTCCTTGTTTTTTGTCCAAGGGAGCCCTCGGATTTCTCTGTTAACACTATGAATTGTAGCTCCATGAGGGGAATTGTGGGATGTATCTCTCCCGTTTTCTCAACAAGCAAACTTTGTGCGGCAGGCAGAAATCCAACCGGTGCAGCTTGGGCTGGCGACGGAGGTTCTGTGTGCAACAGATAATTACACCCTGCCTGTCTCGGAAGGCACCCCGCTCCCTCCACCTCCCTGTACCCAAATGCCTGCAGCCAGCCCCACCTTTCCCATCTCTCTGTCACCCTGCCGTCTAACTAGTCAGGTCGGGTTAGGACTGGGAATGTGTGGGTGAGAAGCACAAGGGGAGAGGAAGGCAGGGAAGGCGGAGGCAGAAAGATCCCTTCCAGATCTTGTCTCCTCGTCCTGGGCGGAAGGTGAGAGAAAAGCAGAATTCTCTTTGTTTTTCCACGTAAGTGGCCAGAAGGGGTGAATGGTTTGTGCAGCGCTGTTATAACCCGATCCCAGGCACTGCGCAACTCAGAAGGAAGCCCTGCTGAATCTGGAAGCGAGGAATTATATGCGGAGCCTGTGTGCAATGGGTCAGTGGGTCTGGCTGTTAACCAGAAGGTTGGTGGTTCGAGTCCACCCAGGGATGGCTGTGGGCAGAGGAATCCCTTCCAACTCTATGAATCTGGACCCTGTTTTTTGGGGGGGGGGCAAGGAAAGATGGTTCTGGAGTGGGGAGCATATAAATCAATGTCAAAGCTAAAACAAGGACCACTCAGATTATTTAGAAGACATCTGAAGGCAACCCTGTTTAGGGAAGTTTTTAATGTTTGATGTTTTATCGTGTTTTTAATATTCTGTTGGGAGCTGCCCAGAGTGGCTGGGGAAACTCAGCCAGATAGATGGGGTACTGAATAATAATAATAATAATAATAATAATAATAATAATAATGTGGTACCTCTGGTTACGTACTTATTCATTCCGGAGGTCCGTTCTTAACCTGAAGCACCACTTTAGCTAATGGGGCCTCCCGCTGCCGCCGTGTCACCGGAGCACGATTTCTGTTCTCATCCTGAAGCAAAGTTCTTAACCCGAGGTCATATTTCTGGGTTAGCGGAGTCTGTAACCTGAAGCATATGTAACCCGAGGTACCACTGTAATTATTATTTCCTCAAACAGCATCAGTTGGGAGTATTAATCTGCGACATTCTACCAATACAACATCCCCCTTCTTCTTCTCCTTTTGCAAAAAAATCAGATCCCCCCACTCCGCTTTAGAGGTTTAGAGTATTGCTGCCATTGTTGCATTTCTATCTCACCTTCCTCCCGAAGAGCTCAAAGCCGCACGCCTCCTTCTCCCTTGCTCTCTGTTCCATCTTCACAACAGCCTTGTGAGGGAGGATCGGCTGGGAGGCAGGGTCCGAGGTCAAGCAGCGAGCTTCATGGTTCAGCTGTGGGATTTGAACCCTGGTGGCGGCACCTCTGGCCCTCGTTTGGTACCCTAACCATTCTACTGCACTGCCACCTAACCATGGGGTGCTAGGATTCCTGGGAGGGGGGACCCTCTGAAGTCGGGTCCCAGAGAGGGGAGGTTTGTAGCTCACCCCACAACTTGCCCACACCAGCCATGGCACAGAGCCAGCACACCTGGGCTGCTGGTTGGCTCAGTCGAAATTTTAATATCCCAGGACATTCCTGGCAGGCAGTGAGTCAGGCTTGAGCGCCTTTGACGCTGGCCTTGGGTGATGATGTTGCTCCCGCCTCCCCACCCCCCCTCCCACAGGCTCGCACCCCAAAGAGGCCAGACGGGCACCAGGAGGAGGAGGAGAAGGAGGAGGAAGCAGTAATTGGCATAGGATTCCGCCGGGATCAGTATCCTCTCGCAAGAGCAACGCGGACAAACCACCCTGTGGAATGGAACAAGGAAGAAACCCAGGTGCCCAGCTGATTGCCCAGTCTCGGTTTTAACCTCAGAAGTGTTCTTCTCGCTCGGAGGGGTCATTTGGCAAACTTTGGCCAACTTCCACCAAAGAACCGCCATGCGGGGTTTGAGCAGCCGGGTCCCCTTTCCTGGGGAATTCCTGCTAGCAGGTGAGTTGATGACCGAGGAGTAAGCAATGCGAACAAGTCTGCCAGCTGTTTTGGGGGGGCAGGGGATTGGTATGTAGGGTTGCCAACTGACCAGAAAACACCTGGCCCAGCCTGCTCTTCTGCTTTTAAGGAATTTTTTTTGGAAACATATTAAAATTATCGGGGGATGGTTGCCTGCCAAGTGTTCCAGATCAAACTATTGTTCAAGGGGACATCTATGGTAACACTTTGAAAGGTTTCTTAAATTAATTCTATTTATTGTAACAAGCTGCTCTGGAGGGTAAGACTCGAACCAATGGCTTCAAGGAGATTCTGACTAAACAGCAGGAAGAAGTTTCTGGGAGGAAGAGGCATTCAACAGTGGAAAAGACTCCCTCGGGAGATGGTGGATTCCCTTTCCTTGGAGATATTTTTAAACAGAGGTTGGACAGCCATCTGTCATGGATGCTTTAGTTGAGACTCCTGCATTGCAGAGGGCTGGACTAGATGACCCTTGGGGTCCCTTCAAACTCTGCAATTTTAGGATTCTAACATAAAGACATTTTTTTTTTAAGAATCCTGAAGCTGGCAGCTCTATTAACAAGTGGAATATTGAGGGTGCTTCTGTTCCCTGGCCTGGAGGCGATACAAAAGGAGGGGACACTTTTGCCTGTTTTAAGTTCTGCATGTTAAGCTGTCATTAAAGACAGAAGAGCAGGGTCAGTTTAAAAAGTTGGCAATTCCAGTTTATAGAGTTTGGGAGCATCGTAGAGAATCGGTCAGTGCTGAACGGGGTGGAGTCCAGCAACGTACGGCTGGCCAATGAGTCCTCAACGCTGGCGCACGTGGATTCATGGGCGATGGTGCCATCCAGGCAGAATTTGGGGGCACACAGCAAAATTAGTGGGAGGGCCTCCCCAGATTCAGCAAGTCCCAAAGTAGGGACATGGGTGGCTCTTTGGGTTAAACCACAGAGCCTAGGACTTGCCGATCAGAAGGTCGGCGGTTCGAATCCCTGCGACGGGGTGAGCTCCTATTGCTCCTGCTCCTGCCAACCTAGCAGTTTGAAAGCACGTCAAAGTGCAAGTAGATAAATAGGTACTGCTCCAGTAGGAAGGTAAATGGCATTTCCGTGCACTGCTCTGGTTCGCCAGAAGGGGCTTAGTCATGCTGGCCACATGACCCGGAAACTGTACGCCGGCTCCCTCGGCCAATAAAGCGAGATGAGTCCCGCAACTCCAGTCGTCCACGACTGGACCTAATGGTCAGGGGTCCCTTTACCTTTACCTTACCACTGTAAGTGAAAAAAATATATGAGGACCCCCCCAACACCCTGTAAAACCATTATCCCTGGTATTACTTGTATTGCAGGGGGTTAGACTAAATGACTCTGGAGGTCTCTTCCAATTCTACGATTCTACCTAATTCAGCCTTTGCAAACCTGGGGCTGATAGGAGCCACCCAAAACACCTACCGGTAAATGGTGCCCGATTGGTAAAATCCTGACCTAATTTTACTGTGGTCAGTAGGCCAAACCTCTGACCACACAGCAGCAGGGGCTGGCTGAGAAGTTGGCAACTGCAGAACGTAGGAAGCTGTCTTATGCCACGCCAGACTAGTATTGTCTACACTGGCTGGCAGCAGCGCTCTAAGGGTTTCCACCTGAAGGTCCCTTTCATTTGGAGAAGCTGAGAATTGTCCCGGGCCTTCTGCACTCAAAGCAGCTGCTCTGCCACTGAGCTACGCCCCTTTCCCCTAGCGTCAGGGTTCTGCACATCTGCGAGTTCCTGCTGGACTGGGAACTGCTGGCAGCTGAACTGGTTCGAAGCTGGTTTGAATCTGTAGTGTGTAGACTAGGGTTGTAACATTTTGACTCCCCCCGACAAAAAAAAAAAAGCCATTTCCTGTAGCAAAGTGAACTTATGCTTAAACACGCCGGAAACGGGAAATGAAAAGTTGGAATCACTGTAAAAGTTGGAATCTATTTCTCCTGTATTATAATACAGTCATACCTCGGGTTACAGACACTTCAAGTCTTCAAGTTGCGTTTTTTTGGGTTGCGGACTGCTGAAACCTGGAAGTACCGGAACGGGTTACTTCCGGGTTTCGGCAGTCGCACATGCGCAGAAGCACTAAATTGCGCTTTGCGCATGCGCAGAAGCAACAAACCACAACCCACGCATGCGCAGATGCGCCGCTGCGGGTTGCGAACGCTGCGGATTGCGAATGTGCATCCCGCATGGATCACGTTCGCAACCCGAGCGTCCACTGTACATGCTATGCCTATTATACAGCTACTCATACAAAAACTGATTTATTGATTTTTGGGGAGGCCTTTCCTCAAAAGAAATGACCGTTCATTCCTTTGCTTCTAGGCAAAAGTTCATCTCACTAAGCCACAGGAGCATGAGGCTTTAAAAAAAATTAGAACCTTAGTGTAGACCAGGCATGGCCAAACTAGGCCCTCCAGCTGTTTTGGGACTACAACTCCCATCATCCCTAGCTAGCAGGACCGGCGATCAGGGATGATGGGAATTGTAGTCCCAAAACAGTTGGAGGGCCAAGTTTGGCCATGCCTGGTGTAGACATCTGCTGAGCCAGGTGAGCGATGGGGGGGGTCAGCTTTCAGACCAGTAGGATGCAGGTGATGATGGAGGATGCTGCGAGTACCTGCGGCCACCTACCCTGACCCTCCCTCCCTCTTGTCTCACGCAGCCTGCCTCGTGGGCTTGTGGGCTCCCCTGAGCCAAGCTACCATTGGCAGCGTCTCGGTCGTGTCCATCCCAGAGACCCCCATCGAGGGTCAGAACGTCACGTTCGCAGTGGTCAACGTGACGGGCACCATCCGCGAGATCAACTGGTACCGAGGCGTGGCGACCGACGGCTCGACCCGGCTCTTCAGTTACTTCCCTGGGAACGGCAACCCGCAGCGGAACGGGGTGCAACATACGGGGAGGGAATTTGGCTTCCCCAACGGGTCCCTCCTCATCACCAGGGTCAGGCCCAACGACAGCAAGGTCTACACCGTGATGCTTCTCATGCGTCCCAAAAGCTCTCTCAAAGGGTCCATCGAGCTTCAGCTGGCACGTGAGTGTTTGGGCTCTCTCCCGCTGCCAATCTCATCGCCTCCCCCTGTTTCCTGTCTCCGTGGCTCAGGGCTGCAGCACGGAAATCTCCATTCCAGCCGCCGTTAAGAGTTTGTCAATGCTTAGCTTCGGAGATCCTCTTTTTTTTACCCCAACAGCTAAACAATTCTGTAACATTTCAAATTTAGCAACCGGTCTTTCCACCTGCGACTTCCACCTCCCTCCGTGGTCCCCCTAAAATTTCTGTTTATACCTTCACCTTATCACAAAAGGAAAACAAAAAGTTCACCCCCCACTCAAATCCTATTTGCATTTTAATATAGCGTATTTTTCGCTCTATAAAACGCACCAGACTATAAGACGCACCTAGTTTTTGGAGGAGGAAAACAAGAAAAAAAATATTCTGAATCCCAGAAGCCAGAACAGCAAGAGGGATCACTGTGCAGTGAAAACAGCGATCCCTCTTGCTGCTCTGGCTTCTGGGATAGCTGCGCAGCCTGCATTTGCTCCATAAGACACACACACATTTCCCCTTACTTTTTAGGAGGGAAAAAGTGAGTCTTATAGAGCAAAAAATACGGTATTTACACTTAGTTGTTATTTTTTCTTTTAAGTATTCTGCAAACAGAATACTCTTCTGGGGTCTTTAAAAATTGTGGACGGGAAGGAATTTTGACTTCTCTCTTCCGCAAAAAGAAGTTGTGTCATCCGGACGTTCCTTCCGAATCTCCTGTTTATTGTTTGCATGTATAACTTGGGAATGCTGGAGATGGCACGAGGAGATACTGGGCTGCTTGCTCCTGTTACATAACACAACTCAAAGCGCAATTAGCGTTATATAACCACCCACTTCTTCCTTGTACGCAACTGTCAAACGGGGGCGTCGAATGACGGTAGCTGAGTGGTAGGAACATCTTCAGTGTGCGCAGAAGGTCAATTCCCAATGGCATCTCCCGGAGAGGATCGCTTTCAGAAAACCCGGAGAGTTCAGTATTGCCACAATGCCAAACTGGTGCATCGATTAGATCAGGGTTTGCCAGACTTGGGCCTCCAGCTGTTTTGGGACTACAACTCCCATCATCCCAAGCTAGTAAATTGCTGTAAAAGTTGGAATCTATTTCTCCTGTATACATGCTATGCCTATTATACAGTTACTTATACAAAAACTGATTTATTGATTTTGGGGGTGGCCTTTTCTCAAAAGAAATGACTGTTCATTCCTTTGCTTCTAGGCAAAAGTTCATCTAATTAAGCTACAGGAGCATGAGGCTGTAAAAAAAGTTAGAACCTTAGTGTAGACCAGGCATGGCCAAACTTGGCCCTCCAGCAGTTTTGGGACTACAACTCCCATCATCCATAGCTAGCAGGGCCAGTGGTCAGGGATGATGGGAATTGTAGTCCAAAAAAGAGGTGGAGGCCCTATTTCGGGAAACCCTGGGTTAGTTCAATCAAAGCAAAGATATTTAATGGGCTAAAGAGGTACCCTGTATTGCCCTGCATTGGGTGTTGCCAAACTACAACTCCCATCAGTGCCAACAAGCACGGCCAATAGGCAGGAGAGATGGGAGTTGTAGTTGATCAACATCTGGTGAGCCAAATGTTCCACACACCTGGTTTCAGTTGCCGGCAGAAGTGCACAGATTGAATAATAATAATAATA